CGTTATGCAAAAACGATTAAGTAAATGATCAAACATTTGAATAAAATAACCAAGACTTAAATTTAGACATGCTAAATTAAAACATACATTGTTCCAAAACAAATAATGGTTTACATTACAAGTAATTTATGTTCAAGCATAAATAATAAACTAAACTCCGAGAGTGTAGTTCCTACTTGATTGTGCTCAGCTTGGTTACTCTTAAATAAATATTTGCAAACATTTACAAATATTATATTAACATTTAAGTACCAAGTACCTAAGTGTTATATGAAAAGTATAAGTTCTATCTAGTAGATACAAGAAGTACTAGTCTCTTCTAGACTTTCTTTCCAAATAAGAGGAGTAAACCCAGTGTCCAGTTTCTTCAAAAGGGGCAGGCCCGCACGCCTTATTTGAGACTACTAAGGCAGGCAGTTTTTCCATGGATTCATTCCATAATTTGGAAGTTTATTAAAAGAAAAACGATCCTTCTAAGTGGGCTTTAGTATATTTCTTGGGCTTAAAGGTGTTTAGTCCATATAACATTGGCGTCTTAGATCACACTAGGTGGCTCTTTTAGCCTTGCATTATTCCAATGTTTAAACTAGCTTTAAATAAAATATCACAGTATTTATTGGAATATTGTTTGACCTATTATATCATCATATATATATATATATATATATATATATATATATATATATATGTGTTTAAATTATCCAATACTTCCTAGAAGTCATGAATAACTATTTCTAGTTTGATGTTAGAAACATCTTAAGCATCACAGTGATGCCTTTACTAGGTATCATGTTTAGGCTTAATTGCTCAAAGCAAACAGTTTAGGACTAGGACCTTTAAGTGTATACAATTTCATATCTCTTACAAGATTGTTTCTTAAGATATGAACTCATTCATTAAAGTTGTATTTATTGAATGTTATTGTTTTATCAATTCATTAAAGAAAATAACAATAGATGATAATGAGAATGGATTACTTAACTACAAAATTTTTAACAAAATTCATTTAGTATTTTCGATATTTAATATTTAATAATTAATACCCTTTTAGTTTCCAAAAACTATAATTATCAAAGTCTAGGATTCAAGTTTTAAAACAAATAAATGGTTAGGTATCATTTATCCCATCCATTTAAATTCAACCCGGTAGATATTGATTATCAGTTATATCTTACTATATAATTCCTATATTTTTTGGGATCACTAATTAACAAATTTAATTAGACATGTTTGATCCCATCTATGCCTCAGAACTCTCTTGCTTAGGTATCCTTTATCCCAAAAGATTTCCGATCAAATCGTCCAATTTGAAAAACTAGTGTAATCGGCCTATAACTTGGTTATAGAAATCGCGAAGACACCCTAGCCATCAAAAGATAACACTAAGTGGTTAGGTATCCTTTATCCCACTAGTGCATACAAGAGACATGCGAGTGTTCTTCAAAAAGGATTGCATATATTTGATATTTGTAAAAAGGGTATTTATATATTTTATAATTATAGTTTAAAAACATATGATATCATGGTTAATACATGCATATAATAAACCATGGTATCAATTTTCAAAAGAAAATCACTTTTAAATGTTCTATATAAAAAGCTAGTTTTTATATAATTTGACGCAATTCAATTGTAATAACCGGTATTAAGTTTGAATGCATTTGACTTTTTATATCTTTAATAAAACTTCATTTTATTACTTATATATTTGGAGTTTGTATAAGTTACAAAAATCACCATTTTAAAACTTATAATGGAGTAATTCAAAATTTGCCGTTATTAACAATTTTATAAAACCGGGTTTTATTTTAAAAAATAATAACTTGTTACATCTTATGTCTAATTTTGAAAACCCAAACTCCATGTGATGTTTATTTTGTCCAAAATTATTTTAGTATGTGAAAAACTAATTTTATCAACCACATAAAATAATGCATAAAATAAACAACACAAAACATGCATAAAAAGATATGTGGATAAACATAGCCAACTAATGACATTTTTGTGAGCCAACACAAAAGATGTCAAATCCATTCCTAAAGGGACATTTAATGGGACCAAAAAGCTTATTGTAATGTTGTTGTAGAAGCTCTCACTTAAGTAAATACCCATTGCTTGCAAAAGATTGGAAAAACTTCTTTAAGGAAAAATTCTGCTGCATTTATGACGTTTTTCAGAAAGTGTCATCTTTCTATTCAGCACATGTGTAGCATTCATGACACTTTTCAGAAAGTGTCATGTTCTGCCCAACATATGTTGAACTCGAAAATTTTCCTTTTGTCTTCAAAAAATTGTTCAAACTTTATTTCTTGTTACATCTTTGTACAAATAAATTATTTTTAAAAACTAATATATTACTTTATAAAAATAACTAAGAAAAGCTAATCTGTTTAATTATTACATACCATATGAATAAAAAAATTATTACAACCATTTTATAACAAAAATAACCAACACAACAACATAACAACACATTGGTCATTGTCTAGTTTATGCACATCATATACATCAATATACACATAAAACAAACTTTGTTTTTATAAGACAACTTTAAATGACAAAAGATGCATGAAACTTCTGTCACATAATATAACAAAAAAGTTGTCATAGAAAATATGTATGAACTTATTTTTTGTACAAAAACATGTTATCTATATTCTTCAAAAACTAAGATTTCTAGAAATAAAAAATCTAACCAAACTTCCAAGATGGCTCTGCTACCAATTGTTGGGTTTTAGATCAAAAATAGTTTCATAAACTTGAAAAATATGGCAACGGAAAACTTTAATTTTTGAAATAACATAAACATTTTATACCCAACGATGATCTTCTTGCAAGTTATAGAAAGATTAAAACACCAACCAAAGAAGATGTGAAGAAATAAAAAACCTTTGTAGTTCTTTGGGTCCTCTCGGGGGGCTTGGAAGTTGATGAAGAATGTGGAACCTTTGAGAAACCAACAATGATTCAACTTGATGTAGATGTTAGTCCAAAACTCTTAAACTCGTAAGCTTTAATTTCATAACGAATATGAACTTAAAGAGTTCTTGAAGATGCAAGTGTTCTTCAAGTTTTCTAACCAATACTAGAGAGAAAGGGAGAGGGAAGAGAGGATTCAGATTTTTCATCAAGGAATGAATGAGCAAATAATCCAAGTGCAAGTTCTCTTATTTATATGCATAAAGTGAAGTTATTAACCATTAGTCCTTACTACTTTAAGCAAACTTATGCCCATTGTCATAAGCATGTATCACATGTCTTTAAAGCATGATTAGACAAGTCATAGAATTCTTCTTTTATGCATATCTCAAAAATTGCATAAAGAAGAAGAAAGAAAGTCAAACTTTTATAAAATCTTTTATAAAATATAAACCTTGTCTTTTAGGAAAAAAAACAAAAGGATTCAACTCGTCCAAAGTTTGTACATGACTTATAAATCATACCATATGATATATATTAAGTTACTTGCTAATGAAATTTATTATTTTCATGAAATAAATAATTTCAAATTTAATTGTAAGAGTTTTATTAAATATTTAGTAAAATCAATTTCTAATAAATAATCAATTGTATCAAGTTGTTGTTAGTGTGACCTATTAGTATCATATGTTATTTAGTAATATCACTTTAATATGACTCTTGAGCATACTAGGCCTTTCATATAACTTGGTTAATAAGTTTAAATAAATATCAAACGTAAAGTGTAATCATAAATAAACTAAAATTTAATATTAAAATAATATCTTTACTTCTAGTTATAAAGTTATATCTTTAACTTTTAACATATTATACTTCATTTATTAAATTTAATATGTTGTTGTGTGCAAACCATTATCAGATTAAAGCTTCAACTTTTAAACAGTTTGGACACAATATTTAAATTGTTAATTTAAATATAACATTACAGTGTCAACTTAAATATAAATTTCAGTTCTGCTTAAAAAACTCAATAAATATTTTGTAAATAGTTAAAAATTATAAATTGTAGTGCTAAACATAAAAACTAAATTATAATTTCAATTTAACTAAAACATTTCTAAATATATTTTTATAATCGTTAAAAGTTTTCAAATAAGTATTTTAAAATAACTTACAATAACAATAGTTAAAAATAACGATATATAAATTATTATATTGTTACATTTAAATTCAAAAAACAATGTTTGATGTTTTAAACAATTATAATGATAGAAATTAAAACGTTAAGAAAATAAATTTTTAAAAATTAATGACAATAATAACAATTATAAGTAACATTAAGCCATATATTATATTTAATTTTATTCATGAGTAACTCGCGGGTAGAAATCATTAAAACGGTTGAGATTATGTAGTTATAATAGATGTATATATTATCATATAATTCAAAATAATTAATATATTATATCAATTTAGTAGACGAATTATTATATAAAATTTAACAACAACGTTATTGTTATATTTAAAAAACACATATTTGTAACGATTTCAGCTATATATGTGTTTCGGCATTTGCCTAGTGTTTTTATAAATTTAGCATGGAAACGTAATGTTGTGGAAGAGGATTCATAACGAATTATTAGAGACCATGTCCATAATAACGGTAAAATATGTTACATGTTATAATACAACTTGAAGTAAATGATTATTTGTGTTTTTAGTAGTTGTTCAAATACTAGAAGACATATTTGTAATGCTAGTTGTGGGAATTACTTTCTAATCAAAAATATTGTTACCGACAGACTAATGTGGTTAATAAATAATAATAAGTTAGTTAGTGTAATGTTCTATCGATCGTAACATCATTGTCCTTTCCAACATAAAAAAATCTAAAGAAAATCCAGATACATTCTTCAAGTATAATAATGTTGAGTGTGGGATTAGCCTACATTAAGTGCCTTAAATGACAACCAATCACCAAATATCATTTAAAAATGAAACTTACATATATGGTAGAGTTTTTTTAACCACCCCTTTTTCCATATTTATTTGCAAGACTCAAAGATGGTATATAAAGAGGCATGTAACATATGCAATACCATATCATTAATGCTTGTAATCTTTAATCTAGGTATGGCTTTATTACCTGGGTCTAAAGGATCATTGTCATGCTTAGCCATGATGGTGATGGTGTTTTTTGGATCAACAAAAGGATTCATGAGAAAAGATAAAGAGATGTGTGAAAACCAACTTATACGGTTAGAAAGTTGTTTACCTTATATGGGTGGTAAAGTAAAGGTTCCAAGTAAGGATTGTTGTAGCGATCTCAAGATAGTCTTGACTAAAAACAAGGCATATTTATGCAACATGATCAAGGAATATAACCCTAGCGTTGGGTTCAAGTTCAACGATACACTTGCGTTAAGCCTACCAGATACTTGCAACATGTCTGCCAATGTCTTCGAGTGTCCTAGTAAGTAGTATTTATTATCAGCATATTGGTTTACGCTTATGTTTTAAATGGGCATATGAACCTACTATATATAATGTCCTCATTAGCTTAGTACTCACCTCAAAATGCTAAACCCTAAATGGTTTGAGGATCATACAATGATTACTCTATCTTTTTTGTTACGTATTCAGGTCTTTTGCATTTGCAACTAGGCTCACCAGATGCTAAAGTATATGAAGATCATGCTAAAAGCACGAAGAGCAAAAATAAAACCATAGGTTTATACCAGGTTGAACAAGCTTTAAACTTACAAAATATTTAAATACCATGACTACCCTACTATCGAAGTTTGGATATGCATACATATAAGCTAAAAAAAGAACTAATGTAAAACAATGCATTATATTTTTTAGACAAAAGTTATACCATGTTTTGGGATCATAGTTACAAGATTGTAATTAGTAGTGTTCAAAACTAGATATCTATAGTACTAATATCTTAAATTTGGATATCCCAAAGTTTTTAATTATATATATATATATATATATATATATATATATATATATATATATATATTATATATATATATATATATATATATATATATATATATATATATAGGTAAAGGCTCAAATGAGAACCAAAAAAGGTTAAGAACAGTAAGAACCTCTAATTTTAGATGTTTATAAAGGGTTTAGGGTTTAGGGTTTAGCATGTTTATAAAGGAATTAGGGTTTAGGGTTCTTAACCCTAAACCCTAAACCCTAAATCCTTTATAAACATCTAAAGTTAGAGGTTCTTAACCTTTTTTTGGTTCTCATTTGAACCACTCCTTATATATATATATATATATATATATATATATATATATATATATATATATATATATATATATATATATATATATATATATATATATATATATATATATATATATATATATATATATGATCATGTGAGGACGCTTTTTTTCGGTCAGGAGTTATGAAGACAACTTTAAAAAAAAAATTAAAAATTAAGAAAAAATACAAATCATAAAATCGAGCATAGTATTATATTGGATAGGAAAAGAAATTGGAAAAAAAAAATTGGATCATTAAAATTGAATCATGGATCATTTTTATAATCCATGATTCACTTTTTTATGATTCATGATTCAAATTTAAATATCCAAAAAAATCCTATTTTTTTCTCTCTAATATAGTAATATGCTCGATTTTATGATTTGTATTTTCTTTTAATTTTTTTTAATTTTTTTAGGTGTCATCACGAGTATATATATATATATATATATATATATATATATATATATATATATACATATATATATATATATATATATATATATATATATATACATATATATATATATATATATAATTTTGTGAGACCGTAAGATGCAATCTAAAAATAATTTTAAAATGCAAAATAAAAGAAAAAATCCGAAAATTCTTTTTTTAATTATTGTTTTCGTCATTTTATTTACCTAAAAAATAAATAAATAATAAATAAAACTTACTGTTTTTTTTTTTTTGAAAAATACATGAAATATTTTAATAGAATATTACACTGTAAAATATTCTAATATTTTCTAGAATATAATATTCTACTTGATTAAATGTAAAAAAAAAGTAATTTTTTTTGGAAAATATAAATGAAGAAAATAATATTTTTAAAGAAATTCAAAAAATTTCAATTATTTTGTATTTTAAAAATGTATTTTTTTTTTCTAGAAAATGAGTGGTTAGGATTGCGTCTTATAAAATTAGATCGTCTGAATATATATATATATATATATATATATATATATATATATATATATATATATATATATATATATATATATATATATATATATATATTCTGAATCGATAGCAAAAATTGAAGAATCCAGGATTTTGGATGGATAAAAATATGGAATATCCAAATTTCAACGAAAACAATAATAATAATTTGTTTTTTACCTAACCCAATTGTATTTTAGTTTATCTATTTCACTTAAAATCATGGATTTTAAGCCGACGGATGTCAATGAACTTATATTTTTGTATGGAAAGGACCATTAAAAGTTTACATTCACTAGGTGTCTATAATTTTTATATGAATATACTAATAAATACAAGATACAATACAATTACAAAAAAGTAAATGTAGTTATTTCGAATTTTCGGATGATATGAATATCCAAAAGTGTAAAAAATCATAATCCGCATCCATATCTAAAATTTTAGACATCCAAATGACCTGAATAATTTCGGGTTTGGATTGGATTCTCATACTCAATAATATTTTAAAGTAAGTTACATGAATAGTCCTTATGGTTTAGGGTAATTTGCATATTTTGTTCTTAACTTATTTTTTAATTCGGATTGTTCTTACTGTTTGTTTTTGTTACGCGTTTGGTCTCTGTCTTACCTAAAAAGACTATTTTGCCCTTGATTTTTTAATTTATTTAAATAAACATACTCTCAACCCCACATACTCACCTTACCTTACATATTCCACAATTTTTTCCTTATTTAAATAATAGTATTTTTAGGTAAGACAGAGATCAAACGTGTAACAAAAACAAATAGTAAGGACCAAACGATTAACAAAAACAAATAGTAGGGACCTCCAAGTTATAAAAAAAAAAAAAAAAAAAAAAAAAAAAAAAAAAAAAAAAAGTTAGAAACCAAACATGCAAATTATCCCAAATTATAGGGATAATTCGTGTAATTTACTCATTATTTTTAAAGATGTAGATTTCATTTACCAATATACTCCCTTGACAAGTCACTTACTAATCAAAAAACATAAACTATAATCTAATTAGGTGGTGTTTGCTCTTGAAGTGGTAAAATATGTATAGTCCTTTTCTACATTTGAGAAAAAAATATGGACAAAAAATCTATAGTTTATGGAACAAAAGGTTGTTTTTTTAGTGTGCAAATTGTATAAATGATACTTAATCATATTGATCATAGATGATACTAGAAAAACAAACTAGATATACATAAACCCACTTACCACATTGAATTCAAGATGACAGTAAAAGACGATGGAGGTGGTGGTTGCGGTAGCGGTAACGGTGGTGGTGATGGTGGTGGTGATGACAACGAAGATGGTGGTGGCGGAGGCGGAGGAGGTGGTGGTGGTTGTGCTAATGGTGGCATAGGTGGTGATGTTCATGATAGTTGTGGTGGTGGCGGCGGTGGTGGTGGTGATGGTGGCAACGGAGGTGGTGGTAGTGGTGGTGGAGGCGGAGGAGAAGACAGTAGAGTTGGTGGTGGTGGAAATAAGAATGTAAGATTAGGTTTAGACGTCTTGCCAAATCATAAGCTATTTTTTAATATTTTTCATTCATAAACTATTTTTATAGTATTCATAGAGAAAAAAAGGTTAAAATAACTTTTTTATATCTTTTGGTTTTTGAAAAAAAAAATATTTTCCTTATTTTTTTCATAATAATAAAACAATCTTTATGTTACCTTTATTGATGAAAATTCAATTGGTTCTTTACATAATTGGCTTTTGAAAATTTTGTTCTATGTTATATATGTTTAGTGATTAATATGAAACGTTAAGAATTAATGATTATGATCAATTTTAATTATTTGATGTTGTTTTGAAGGGGACGATTATGCAACAAACATTGATATAGGATCAATTGACCGGGCAAGGAGAAATACACGGTTTAGACTTGATATTGTGGGCCTCTTGTTCCTTATTGTGATGCCCTTCTTGTGTTAATTGTTAAATGAGATATCTTAAACTATCAACAATGATTAATAATAAATTAGGGTGTACACCATGCTTTGAGGTCAGCAGAACTGATCATTTTAGTTCAATAATGTTTCTTACTTATTTTAAGATGTTAGATATGTTTAGAAGGAAGGCAATGGGGTGAAATTGATCGATATGTTTAGAAGGGAAGCAATCTATTTAAACAGTATGTACTTCATTATAAAAGATAACATGATTTTAACAAAGAGAGGAAACGTACAACATAATTACAAATATACATACTACCAAACGGTTATCATGCTTAGATATGCATACATATCTTTCTATTACAAAATGATACTAATCAACAAACATATCCATTTATAGCATTGTACTTTCATTCATTATGCAAGTATGCAACTATATTTCGCTTTATGACCAAAATATGCAATGTTAACCTAATGGACGGGCACGGTAATATGCATATTTATGCAACAATGTTACACTTTTTTTGTGCATTTATGCAAAAATGTTTCATGTTTTTACAAATCTATGTAACAATGTTTAAAACTTTTACCAATCTTTGTAACTCACGCAAATTATGCAACCATGTTTCAACCGGATAAACAATCAACCGATAAAATATTGAATCTTTTGGTCTGAAAAACTCGTATAAAATAACAGATTGTTGCATAGATTGAAAAAACAGTAAAACTTTATTGTATATATGATCGTTAACCCTACAATTAAAACCATAAACTACCAATTATGCCTAAGATTCATACCATAATTGTACACAGGTATATATTGGTCTCTTAAGTGATCCAGTTGGTTCTCTTAGGGTATTCTCAACACCCGCAAGCAATTCACTGACGAATCTAGAACCAAAAACTACATAGTTCCTTATGTAAATAAAACTAAAATAGTTAGGTCTTTTAGCAAAAATAGGTAGGTCTTTTAACAAAAATGAGATAGGTTCTTCATATTTTCTATATGTATTTGTTGTATTTAAAAATAAAAAAAATAAAAAAAAAAAAAAAAAAAAAAAAAGGTAGGTCCTAGGACCTACCTTGTTGAAGCTTAGCTACGCCCCGGCAAGCATCAATCCTTTCACTTTCTCTCTTCCATAAAAACAACATGAAAGGGAGGAAAAGCCAACTTTTTATAGAGCTATTTTCAACGAATGAATGGACGTTTGGTTCATAATTTTTTTTGTTGAAGTGATTAGGATTTTGGATTTTTGGTTGACAAGATATGAAGTGAAATTGAATTTCATTCCTTTGTATATTTATGTTTTGTTTGTAAAACTGCCTAAAGATTTAAAATGTAAGTTACGATGATTCAATTTTCCTTACTTGATTTATTGTTCACCAAAACTTATTTAATTACTTGTAAAGATATTAAAGTTACACTTTTATTAATTTATTGTTCATGGATGTTTTTTAAAATAATTTTTAGGCAAAAAAATAAGTTATATAAATCAGCAAACATTAATTTATCCACACAATAGGCAAATTAGGAAACAAATACTAACCCATAAATTATAATATTAATAATAAAAAGAAAAACAAACATACTACAATGTTAAAAGAATAGATTTTTGAACCAGTGTTCTAGTCATTAAGACAAATGAGGAAGAATTGGAATCGAATTCCATCAATTAATGGAATGAAACTTGAATTCCATTATTGGTATGATTTTGTGAATCCTGATGGATTCAGCTCCCCTATCATCTGCAACCAGACGCGGGTATGAAATTCAGTTCCACTACAACCAATTCCTAAGGAATCTCAATGTAGATAAGGGAAAAATTTTATGTGGAAAAGTACAATGTAAAGTTCATATATACCTTCATTTGTCTTGCAATAAATGGTAATCCTAATTTAAAAAACAATAAGTTTGCACATTTCCCTGATGATAGAACAATAATAAAAGAAAATTGCATCATAGATTCATGAAATGGGAAAAATTAAGGTCTCCAGTAGCAATATTCATCAGTTTTTTTTACTGCGATTGACCTTTCAGTCTAATATATACAGTAAATCGGATATATAGTTCAATACATATCGATTGAAGGCAAACGGGCAACAAGTTGCGCTGCTAGCCCTTTCTGGATAGCAAAACCAATTCTTTTGAAAACTACATTTGTGGATCTAGGAGATATGACATTAGAATGCATGACCCGTTGGACTCTATTGAGGAGCTCCACCGCCTCTGGTGCGAGAAAACCAAATGTATCGAATGCATAAGGAACAAACGCATGTTGATTTGCTATACATGCATTCTCGTGCTTTACCACTTTGCACGCAGCGGCATTCAATGCGGCATGCCTAGTTGTGAAACCCCCGCTCCCCAAACCAACGAGAGGATAGACCCTAGTAAGATCCACGCACGCATGCTTCCCTCCTATCCATCCAAAGACCAAAATGTCAATCGGTCTAAGTGTGGACCTTCCATCCTGCGGGTCCGTCAAAAAGTTCACTGGCGCTTCTTTCTTCACAGAAATACCATCACGCCGACAAGCATTAAAGAGAACATCCCGAACCACATCATGTCTATACTTGAAACCAGGGAGCTCTCTACAATGAACCGCGTGTTCCCCAAAGGTATCCAAATATGTAAGTTAAATATCACCATTATGTGCAATAATAATCGCATCAAATTCTCCACGATGTTTTTTATTCTCACATAAGTGACACATTCCATTATATGGTTCAAGAGAGCTTATCAAGCAAGGTTGCACCACATTCTCTGTTAATTCTTTTTTTTCATTAAGTTTAAATAAATGAGGGAAAATTGGTAAAAATTTAGGACTTAGCAAGGAAATCCTTTGTCCCTAGCATTCTCTATTAATTCGTTTTTTGCTGCATTAAGTAAAAAAGAATAAACACCATAGTGACAAAAGAATAATGGGGATATAATTGTAAACTATGTACCTAAGAAAGTAGTGAATCTGCAAGGATATCATTGACAAATATATATCTAGGAGGAGAAGAAGGAAATGGAAAGAGCTATATTCTTTAACAAGTTTTTTTTAGAACGGAAAATCTACTCCTAAACTACTCTTAATTCCACCTATGTCTCCAATGAGACTTGAACCCTCGACCTCTAGGAAGGAGGGCAACACCCGGTACCGTTGTGCCAAAAGCCCTTTGGTTCTTGAACCAAATATACAACTTATAGCTATCTGGAAATCATATTATACTCAAGTTGTTCAATGATCGGTATGACGATATCCAAAAGCAAATCGACTATCAGCAGAAATCCCTGAGTCGTATTTTCCGTTCTTCTAGAAGCAAATAGACTCCAAGTTGTAAGACCGATGCCATAGTTTCTATACAAAGAAAGATACTCACTCTCAACCTGAATAAGTGAATCAATTTATATCAGGGATCAAAGTGATTTTAGTTCATAATTGATCAATTAGGGTTTTGATGTATGCCTTACACTCTACCCCCGAGTTTCATTTAAGGAGAGAAAGGAAAGGAAGCAGAAAGATTTGGAAAGATCATTTCTCCGGAGTTTTATTTAAGGAGAGAAAGGAAGAGAAAGAAAAAGAATATTCATGTTAACTTTCCCTATAAGCTATCCGCCTAAATCGGAAGGAACCGGAGAGAATGGAAAGGAAGATCAATTCATGTGTTTTATTTTCTCTCGTTTTCTTTTCTTTTCTTTCCTTTATTGCACTCAGGAGCGAAGTGTTATGAATAGAAACCATATTATACCTAGGATGTTCAACGATCGTTCTGATGACATCCACTCGATTCTCAATCCCCCAACCCTTTGTAATCTATTGTGTCGACCATTCACTCCCTAATAAAACGACCGACCCTTATCGATGAAATGATTCATAGCCCTAATTATTTTCTCAATCAACGTTTGAAACCCAGATCTGACGGTTCTTCAAATTCATTTGAGAGAAAACAAGAGATAAATAAAACGAGAAATTCTAGAGTTGTTCTGCAAAAAGAGATCGATAGATGGTGTGACAACCCGAAACTTTTGTCTTGTACACTTAGCCAATTCTATCAATGCTAAACTTGTTTCAGCTATCTTTTAGCATTGTTTTGAGCCTGTTTGGATGATCTAAAGCCTTGTACAACCAAATTTTGAATTAGGGATGGGTTGGTTTAAGAATTAGGGTTGCAAATAGGCCAAACACTCCATCAAAACGAGTGCGTGGCCACACACATGAGTGTGTCGCCGCACACTTATCCCTATTTATATAGGGTGACCCCTTCACTCATTCCTTTCATTTGGTTGCACTCTACTTTCTCTCTTTACTTTCCCTCTATAAAAACTTCATCCAAGAATGCTCTCAAGGCCTAAAAAACGTGAGTTTTCCATCACCTAGCTTATCATACATGAAGGACCCATTGATCTAAGCCCTTAACCATCAAAGTTCATAATTTTCTTCATCACATGAAGGTGTATGGCCGCACACCTTCATAAGGTGGCCGCATACACCTTAAAAGCTCTCCAAAGTGAAGAGTTTGGCCTTCATTCACTAGTAGGACCTGGTATTAGCACTAGAACATCTAAAAATCGACATTTCGGGCACAAATGAGGAGTGTACAGTCGCACACTCCTGTGTACGGCCGCACACACCCTCTGTACGACCGCACACTCTTGCGTGCAACCGCATACACAGCCTAGCCGCACACCCTAGTTGCACATACACCATAATGATCATACACCTCCTTTGTTTGATCACATAAGGTCCCGACAAGCATTTTCAAGTCTTTAGGGTGGTTTCTCGTCATGTTTTGTCATGGAATACCTAAATCTAATACATATATGTGCTATTATATGTTACTAGGATCCACTTGAGTGTGAATCCTCAATTGACACTAAACACTCGTAACTGATCATCCGCTCGAATCATCCGTCAAAGAGTGAGTTCATACCCCTACATTTTCCGTGTTTTTAATGTTTTCAGGAGGGGGGGGGGAGCAATACAAGCCAAACTCAAAGTATTTTATTAAGTTTTAAACTTAGTAATGCAGTCCAATGATTTCCTCGTTTAATAACATATTCAGATATTTTATCTCTTTTTGTAATATGTTAAGCATAAAGGAAACTTCTATTTTGGAAATCTAA